AAGGAGGAGGAGGAGGAGGAGGAGGAGGAGGAGGAGGAAAGACCGAAGTTAAGACGACTCAGTCTCCTGTTGGGGCTCCTTGCTCTCCCTCACAAAGAGAATTTCCAGCTTTTCACCTACTTTCTCGGCATTATCATTTAGACTCTTTTCAGCTGATTCAAATAATTCTCTGAGGATCAGTCTTCTTCCAATAAAATGAGACTTTATCCAATCAGTATTGACACAGAACTTTCACATTCTCCCTAATTAGCTTTCTAATTAAAGACTTTTCCCCGCACATCCAGCGGATAACTAGGGAAACAATGACAACAGAACAAAATGAAACAAAATAAAAATTACCAATTTTTATTAAACACAACAATAACAAAGCAGCCTTGTCTTCTAGCTATTTGGAAATAGCCATGCTTCTCCTTAGCTACACCCAGCCTCCTGGGCCAGAACGCCAGAGCCCACACTCCGAGGTCTCTTCTGCAGGGACTGTGTGGGCCTGGGGTGTCTGTGGGTGAGGAGTGAGGCCTGGGGCCGGGGGCTGAGCTGCTACACATCCCCAGCTGTGCCGAGCTTGCCTGTGTCTCCTCCCTCCAGCCAGAAGGAGCTCACGGACGCCGTGGTTCTCCGAGAACAGCTCTGTTTCAAAAATCATTTGGAGCTGATTTTCAGAGACAGCACAGTGCATGGCCGGGACTCTGGCTTGGGAAGTAACAGTGAAAGGTGACAGAAACAAAGCCACAAGCAGGCTGGGACCTGACAGGACAAAGGCTCTGAGGGGTTTCAGAACAGTTTGTGTCCCATTTCCCATCAAATCTGGATTAGCAGAAGCAAAGGAGGAAAGAGAACAAATAAAGGAAATCCACATATAATCCAACCCTGCGTTTGAGCTACGCGCCTGCGTTCCTTCTCTGCTTAGCCCAGCAGCTCTGATTACCAGGACTGATAACAAGGGCAGAGTGGGCCAGGCACCCTCCTGCCGGGCTTCCCAGGGTGCCAGCCAGTCCTTGACTTGGGGACAGGTGGCAATGATGCGGACGCGGGAGAAGAACTGGTGCTCATCAGGTGGGCACTGTGGCCTGGTCTACAGGACACCGGGAGGACCCGGAAGCCCGAGGCTGGCCATGGGCTGTGGCACCTGATGCCAGCAACCAGTCACGAACCTGGCACGAGTGGGCGGCAAAGGCCAGGCAGCCCTGGGGTGCAGACGGAGCTCTCCTTCCTCCCCTCTTCCTGCCCCTTCCGCCTCCCTCTGCCCCTCTCCTCTCTCTCCTTTCTGGACATACTTCAGCAGGAGCATCCGGCTAGTGACGTTCAGACTCTTTCCCATTTAGTAATAATTTTATAAGTGTGCTTTAGAAAAAACTGTAAAAGACTGAATACTGTACATACGATGGTGCAGTAGGTGGGGCGCCTTCAGACACAGCATTCTGCAGATGGACGCCGGAGAACTACTCAGAAAGAACCGGAAGTTTCCAGAGGCACCGGAGGCCACGTGACAGAGCAGGGCTCCACTTGCAGGTGGCTAGAGCAGGACTGACCCCGTGCATGTCCTCCGGGGCAGGTCCTGGCCGTCCCGGGCCCCGCCATCTCCTGCCTTCTGGCATCTGCAGCACTTTAGCCTTGACAGAGCCCCAAGGGCACCTTGCCTGCTGCTGGTAATTTCAGGCTCTTAAATCAGTGTTGCCTCTGCCTTTCTTCTGGCCTGAAGCTAACAGCCAAGCCCTCAAAGAGCTTCTGGTACAAAGTGGTGGTGCCCGAAAGGTGCCTGGACCTCCTGAGCCTTCCTGGGATCTGGGCCCCTCCCAGGCTCCCATGCGCTGTCCAGGACCCCAGAGCCCTAGGGCAGTCAGACTTGTCTCTGGACAGGCAGGCAGGAGGTGAAGGATGCACCACCACCCCCAAAAGCCCTTGGGAGAAGGACTGGAGGGTGCTGGGGGGGGGGACCTTGTGTCTTGTCAGGCCACCCTGAATGGAAAATGGTCAAAACATTGTTTCTGTACTGAACCTTTACAAACTTTGTTCTTGTCATTATTCCCTAAATAAGACAGTGTAGCAACTGCTTGCATAGCATTTACATTGCATTTGGTGTCGTGTGTCATCTGGAGATGACTTACAGTATAAGGCAGGATGTGCAGTTTTTTCTCTCCAATGCTGAGTATTGAACCCAGGGCCTCTGCACTGAGCTACAGCCCTAGCCCTTTTACAGTAGACCCTTGACTTACAAACTCAATCCAATCCCGAGGGCTAGTTGTGACTCAAGTTGGTCAGTGAGGGCTCAGGCTCCTCTCCTGCACACAGGCAGATCTCAGTGTTCTTTCTTAGAGAGACACCGGCCCAGGATTTCTCAGTGAACCCACACAGGAGAGGATGCTGTCACGTTCCTTCCAGAGCTCTTTCAGGGTCAGAGCTGCATCTGAGACCATCTGGAAGCACAAGTGGCTAGCATTTGGGATGTAACTCAAGACTTTGGTCATAAGTTAAAACTAAAATTCCAGTTGTAACACAAGTTGTTCAAATGTCAAGGTGGTTGTAACTCAAGGGTCCACTGTATTATTATTTTTTAAATTTTGAGACAGTACCTCACTAAGTTGCCCAGACTGAGTTCAAATTTGCAGTCCTCCTGCCTTGACCTCTCAGAGGCTTCTCAGCTCAGCTGCTGCTCCATTTTATCTGAGGGACTTAAGCATCTGCAGATTCAGGAATCTGTCCCCCCGGGAAACTGAGAGCAAGGGCCCCTCCTGCTTCAGAACTCACCACCTCCACCTCAGCTCTCTGCGGGCTGTGGGCCGGGGTGCTCCGGAGACTCCCAGGCCTGGAATCTGAGCTCTCGCTCTTCCCAGGGGTGGCTCCCTGATGGCACTGTGGTCCTGAGACCCCAGGAAACTCATCCTCAGTGGGGCTGTGCACCAGGAGAGCTCAGGCAGTGCTGCAGCTCCATGCACGTTCCTCCCCAGCTCTCCTTCTCTATCCTGCTCTGATGGCGAAGACCTCGGGTGCATCATCCATGGAGCTGAAAAGAAGCTCCAGTTCTCGCGAGCCCAGGGGAGCGGAGAGGACCTGGCCTGGGTGATACTCCTGCTCCTGTGTCCAGCAGATTCACGCAGGCAAACTCGTAGCGGGCACGCTCATGGTCAGTCTCTGCGTCACGCTTTTCAACCTTGGAGATCTGGGCCAGGCCTCGCCAAACCGCTGTCCCTGGAAGGACTGCTTCTAAAGCATGAAACTCCCCACATTCACATTTGAAACCCAACCATTTCTTAGGCTGCAGCAGAGATACTCGTTTGCAGACCATCTGTCACTTGGTAATGTGCAAATTACCGGTAAATCATTCCAGATTCTTTTTTGCAAGCATAGCATGAACAAACTGCTCCACATGCAGAAATGAAAAGTCATTTTCCTTTGAAAATTCATTAAGTTCTGCGTGTTTCGAAGAGGGCGAGGGGGAAGCTTCCTGGCAGATGCCAAGAGCATTATTCCTGTACACAAATGTAGCAAGAAGGCCAGCAGGGACAGATCTTGGAGGGTCTTCCACAGGCCCCTCCTGAGGGCCGTTTCCCCCAGAGGTCTCCAACCCGGCTGTGTGCATGTGACCGCAAAACCCTTACACCCGATTTATGTGCACATTCATCTCTTTGTGCTTCTAGTTATTAAAATCCTCTCCTGGGAGACAACAGGGAATCACAATGGAGAAACACATTTAACTTTCTGTTCCTAAGAAGCCACTGGGAAACCAAATTTTCTGAGCTGTCATCAAAGAATTGTGGCAATCTCCTAGGACGGAGCATTCTGATTTCTGTCTCTGGCCACCTGGTTCTCAGGTGAGGCTTAAGGGGAAGCGTCAGGCAGCAAGAGGGAGAGGCTCACACAGAAAACTGTGAGTCGCAGAAGGGCTTCCACTGTTGGAACAAGTCCTCTTTTGGGGTCAGCAATTTTGACCTGAAGCAGGTTCTCGGGAACGTCTCTATTTCCTTCCGCAGCGCGCCCCTCTTCCCTTTTCTTGCTCAAGATTAATTAAGCTAAAAGCAAGTAGCTTTGTTTTACCTCCTCGTCATTCGTTTTTGATTGAAAGAGAGGTTCATTCACGACTGCCGGAAATATAACATGAAATCATAGAGGAGGGCTGATGCTCACTGATAAAGTTTACGGAATCTCCCCAAAATGCTGCCCAAGAAGTCATTAGAAGTCACCAAGACTAAAGGAAGGCTGACCTTTGAAAGATGCAAACTGAACCAGGCGGACACACTGGCTTCCTGTGGCTGACCGAGCTCCGGGAAGGTGATGCCGAGCACCAGGGAACTGATCATCTCGAAGCCCCTGCGGCCCAAGCGTCCGCCCTGGGTCGAACCTAAGCCAAGTGAACGTGATGGCCCGCACTGCGGTCTTGTTCGAGGCCGCATCCTGCCCCCCACTGCGGGCACAGTTCGTCTGGAGACAGCGCCGTGCCCAGCTCGAATCCTCAGCTCCTCCGTGGTCAGCTGTTTGTGCATCCAGACATCGTGTTAGTGGGGTGTCTGTCTGTGATGAGCCACCTTAGGAGGAGGAAAGGTTTATTTTGGCGCATGCTTCCAGCGATCCCATGCGGGTCACGGTGAAACTGCACAGCGGGCAGGCGCGTTTGGAGCAAAGCGCTCACCTCAAGGCGGTGGGAAGCAAAGAGGAAGATAGGAAGGAGTGGGGGTCCCGGTATCCCCACTTCCTTCCACTAGGCCCCTCCTCTTAAAGGGTCCCCATGCCGGGGACCATGCCTGCAGCATGGCTGTGGGACTTCAGGATCCACACTGTAACAGATGTGCACACCCAGCAATTACTTTGGCTTCTCCCACGGGCACCTGCACGGCTCAGCACCCAGGGGCTCCTCCAGACCTCTTCCCCTCAGTGACTCCAGACGCCACGAGGCAGGACGTCACCCTGGAGGGTGGGGAGCCTGAGCTAGGGAAACCCTGCTCAGTGAAAACAAGAACCAACTGTTTGTCAAATCCTTCCTCAGCGCAAAGGCAGGAGTTTTTGTCAGAGATGTAGTAGTCGGACCAAGCATCATTGTTTTGTATTTACTTCTCCTGGTTTTCTCATTTGTGGTTTCAAGACGTTATTACAAATTAGTATATGTTTGCAAAGGTTGGATTTAAAAATCATTTGCAATATGAAAAAACTATTACTTGAATTTATAAGTATGTTAATCTGACGATAAGACTAGCAGCTATGTAAGATTAAATGTCAGAATTTAAAAATACATAAGCCTTACGCTCCACCGAGAAAAACGCGGCTCCTTCCTCCTTAGCAGAGTGGCACCACCCTGCCCGTTGCACAGAGGCAGTGCCCTGACGGGAGAGGCGCAGGTCCCTGCACCTCAGGTGTGGCTCAGTGGTGATGCTTGCTGCACGTGTGAGGAGGCCTCAGGTTTCGTCCTCAGTGCTGAAAAACTTTAAATGTCATTTCTGTTTAAAATGTTAATATCTATTAATTTTAACAAATCATAGTTTTTATTTTGCTTTTGAATTTTGGTGGGTAACTTTAAATGTTTTAGAAAAATAATATTGGAAAACATCTAAAAGGGTTTCAAATGTCTTTATTATGTCACTTCCTATATATATGTGAAAGAAAATTCATATTAAATACAATTTCATTTTTAAGCATTTAGATACATTTAAATGAATATAACTAGAGATTACAATAGAAATTTAAGGG